TTAGAATTAGTCATAGTTAGGATCTATAAATAGGGAGCATCCCCCATTGTTTTGAAAGGTCTTGGAATGGAATAGAAAAGAACGTTAGTTCAAACCGTGTGTTGAGAGTCGTGAGATTCGATCATACAAATCGAATTGGTGAGGCTAAGACCCAAGCCAATTCAACGATTTAGAGAGGCTAAGACCCGATCTATTTCGCGAGTGAAACGAGGCTAATAACAAAGTGAACTCAAGTATCGTGAGAGAGTTAGGCTAATAACCGAGTCGATCACACCTATCGTCGAGAGCAAGGCCGTGGCGAAGCCGTGATCGAGACAAGTCGAGGACACGAACATCCGATCCTTCATCAGCCGCATGCTGCGCACGGTCGCGTGCGCGTGCTACACGCATGGCTACGCACGACGTGCGTGCATAGTGTACCTTGTGTACATTCATGATTTAACTTGATTTGACTTGGAAATTAAATCCGAACATTCTTAACCTTCAATAATCAATCCCGATTAATAATATCCATTTATAAAATAAACGGTTTGGAAACTAATTATGGACTTTGACTCGGTTAATAATTAACCGAATTGACTTTTCGACTTAAAGTTGAACTTATTCGCTGAAAATGAACAAGAATAATAAAAGGAAATACATTGCTTTTATTCATAAGAAACTGGGTTATTACAATCTACCCCCCTTAAAATATTTCCGTCCTCGAAAATATACAATTGAACATACATCCATGATACAAGAAAAGTATATACATCAAAACTGGAAATCAGGAAAACGAGCACGGATATCTGCTTCCTGCTCCCAAGTAGCTCCGTGGCGATCCCACTGAACACGAATAAGGGGAACATTACGCTTCCGGAGCCGCCGAACCTGTCGGTCCAACACTGCTACCGGTCGCTCTTCATAAGATAGATCTGGATGGATCTGAATATCGGTATACGGAATAACATGATCGGGGTCGCACACGTATTTACGTAACATAGATACATTAAAAACATTATGAACACTGGATAACTCGGGAGGTAAGGCTAATCGATACGCAACTTCGCCCACTCGCTTGAGAACTTCGAACGGGCCAATGAACCGAGTGTGTAACTTCCCTCTCTTCCCAAATCGAATAACTCCGCGAAATGGGCTAACTCTGAGAAAAGCTCGTTCTCCGACTTCAAACTGAATGTCACGTCTATGTTTGTCGGCCGATGACTTCTGCCGACTCTGCGCTGTTCTAAGCCTCTGCCTGATAAGCTCGACTTGCTCAGCTGTCTCCTCGATCATTTTTGGACTGAGTACTCGACGTTCGCCAACATCGTCCCAATACAGGGGCGAGCGGCATTTACGCCCGTATAGTGCTTCCAAAGGAGCCATCTGGATCGACGCTTGATAACTGTTGTTATAGGCGAATTCAACTAATGGTAAAAGCGACTCCCACTTAGCACCTCTGTCTAAAATTAATAATCTGAGTATATCCTCGAGCATCTGAATAATTCTTTCTGTCTGACCGTCTGTCTCTGGATGGTAAGCCGAACTGAACTGCAACTGCGTGCCCATCGCCTCGTGTAAACTCTTCCAGAATCTACTGGTGAATTTGGAATCTCGATCCGACACAATGTGAACGGGCACTCCGTGGAGTCGAACGATCCCACGGGTATAAATATCGACTAACTTCTCCATCGACATGGTCATCGATACAGGTAGAAAATGTGCGACTTTCGTCAATCTGTCCACTACCACCCAAATCGCATCGTGGTGCTCGGACGACTTGGGCAGTCCTGTAATGAAATCCATCGAAATCTCCTCCCACTTCCACTTTGGAATCTCAAGTGGTCGTAGAAGGCCTAAGGGGCTCTTATGTTCGGCCTTAACTTGCTGACAGACCAAACACCTCCTTACGAAACTGGCAACATCTTTCTTCATACCCCTCCACCAGAAAGACCATTTCAGGTCGCGATACATCTTGGTATTGCCGGGGTGAGCTAGATAAGGCGCGGTGTGTGCCTCTGTCAAGATCTCCTTCTGCAAAGCCTCGACCTTCAGCACTACAATCCTGCCTCGGAACTCTAAGGCGCCATCTGTGCCTCGAGAAAAACCTTCAACTCCTCCGGCGTGGAGCTTGGCCTCAATAGCACGAATAAACTGATCATGAGCCTGCTCCTGCCGGATTCTGTCTCTCAACGTGTGCTGAATTTGCATCGAGCTAACACTCCCTGTAATCACTGAAGGAAGTGACTCGACGACCTGAATTTGCATCCGGGCGAAGTCTTGAATAAGATAACGCTGCTGAGTAATAGAACAAGATAATTCGCCTTTTACCTTTCGGCTCAAAGCATCAGCTACAACATTTACTTTCCTCGGATGATACTGAATCGTGCAGTCATAATCTTTAACAAGCTCCAACCAACATCGCTGACACATGTTGAGCTCCTTTTGCGTGAAAATATACTGCAGACTCTTGTGATCGGTGCAAATCTCACATCGACCACCATAAAGATAATGCCGCCATATCTTAGGTGCGTGTACCACTGCAGCTAACTCCAGGTCGTGAGTAGGATAATTCTGTTCATGGGGCTTCAACTGACGTGAAGCATATGCTACAACCTGGCCGTCCTGCATAAGTACACACCCCAAACCTCGCTTCGTAGCATCACTATAGATGGTGAAACTCCGAGAAGGATCAGGAATAGTCAACACCGGTGCCGTCTTAAGTCTTCTTTTCAGCTCTTGAAAACTCGACTCACAACGGTCTGTCAACTCAAACGTCACAGACTTCCTCGTCAACTGGGACAAAGGGAGGGAAATCTTCGAGAACCCCTCAATAAATCTTCGATAATAACCCGCAAGGCCGAGGAAACTACGAACCTCGGACGGATTCTTTGGTGCTGACCAGTTCTGAACTGCGGCAATTTTGGAAGGATCTACTTCAATGCCTGTTTGAGTGATAATGTGGCCAACAAAATCCACTCGCTGAAGCCAAAATTCGCACTTGGAGAACTTTGCGTACAACTTTTTTCGTCTAAGGGTCATAAGAACGGCCCTCAGATGCTCCTCATGCTCTTTCTAGCTCTTAGAATAGATAAGGATATCATCAATGAATACAATAACGAACTGATCGAGAAAAGGATGAAATACATGGTTCATCAAGTCCATGAATACTACCGGGGCATTACTGAGGCCAAACGGCATAACCACAAACTCGAAGTGACCGTATCTCGTACGAAACGCTGTCTTAGGTATATCTGACTCCTTGATTTTCAGCTGATGATAGCCTGAACGTAAATCGATCTTAGAAAATACAAAGGCACCCCTCAACTGATCAAATAAATCGTCGATCCTGGGTAGCAGATATTTATTCTTGATCGTCAACCGGTTA